CGGGAAGCCCGCCCCCCCGCGGACCCCGCACCCAACCCTCCCCGGGCCGCCAGTGCTTTCCCGTTTCTTCCCACGACGAGCCTCGAGCAGCCTCAGCCCGCTGCTCTTTGTCTCGCCCGCGCCGTCTCCGCTCTCACACTTTCCCCCCTGGAAACCTTTTGTGGTCTCTCCTCGGGCCTCCTCTCTTCCCCATTCCAGCCTCTGGGACATCCGTTTCCATGTCTTTCTCCATCCCTCAAGTACTTTTCGGGTTCTTCCTCCTCGTTCTCCTCTCCCTGCCTTCTCAAGTTGGACTCCGGGCATCCTTTTCCTTACTCACCTTTCCTTCTTCCAGCCAGCCGCTGAGGGCATCTGTCTAGAGCGAGCCTCGGTCCTGGACCCTGGCAATATCACAGTAAATAACCCCGAAGCCTGACTTTAAGGAAAGAAAGCAGGTTGGAACGGAAAGTGGACGTACGCAGACCTGTACCATGCCTCTGCTCCCGCTCCCAACAAAGGGGGAGAAAAAGCAGCGAGAATAAAACCAGGGCCTGCTTGCTCAGAGGACACAGAAAGCCCCTACTCAGTCTTTCCTTCTTCCTCAGTTCACGGATTTCGTACTCCTCTCCAGCCCCCTGTGTTTCTTCTATGCAGCGATCTGAGGAGATGAAAAACTGAACCGAACAGTACAACTGCCAAAAATAAAAATAAAATAACAACAATAATAAAGGAAGAGCAAATGTGTCAGCATAATAATCAGATACGAAGTAATAAAGTCGTTTGTTAAATTCCAGCTAAAATAAATAAAATACCAATACTGTGCTTAAGGTAGTAGTCAAATCCCTCTGAAATCTATCTGCTTGGATAAGTGCATTAATTATTCCCTTGTCTGTGGACTGACACTGTGGGAGCTGCCTCCTTATTATTACTAGGCGCCATTTAGAATAATAATTTACTATCTACCACCTGCTAAATGCACAGACTACTAAAGGGAGCAAACGGGATAACGAGGGGAAAAAAGTAAACAGACGACTGGCTTGCTATTCTGTGTGATTCGATGCTTTTTATTTGGTCAAAAACTAGAAGCTGAGTTCTTTTCAAAGTCTAGGTCATTGGCCGATTAGATGCTTGAAGCAGCTTAAATCAAGCTGTTCTCAAGAGTATGTTAGACATTTATTCCAACATTTCTGATTATTAAATTTACATGGGATCAAACGCCAACTAAGCTCTGATCCTGGGGGAGTTAGCTAACCTTTTTGAGCTCAGCTTATTCATATACAACATGGAGGTGTGGGTAACTGCTTATCTGTGGAGATTAAAAAAGTGAAGGACGGAAAAGATTGCTCAGTGGCCCACAGCTGTTTCAGAAGATCCAGATTTGAGTTCCAGGACCCACAGCAAGTTTCTTGAAACCACTTATAATTTCAGCTTCCTGGGCACCAACAACTTTGGCCTCTGTGGGCATCCATATTCCTGTGCACACACCCAGCTCCCAATACACACACACAGTTTAAACCGATTTTAAAATGTAAAGGGTAAAGGAAGTGCCCCAAGTCTATCACCCAGGGCCATACAATCTAGAGACTAAGCTTTTCTGAAAGTTAGCAATCAGGAAAGATCCAGAGCTCTGTGTTACAGAGTGCCACCATGGAGGGAATGAGAACTCAGAGAAATTGTTTACAGCTTTTTTTTCCTTTTTCTTTTTTTGGCTCCCATGCAAAGGCTACCCTCACACTGGAGAGATGGCTCAGAGGTTAAGAGCACTAGTTGCTCTTCCAGAGAGTCCTGAGTTCAATTCCCAGCAACCACATGAAGGCTCACAACCATCTATAATGAGATCTGGTGCCCTCTTCTGGTATGCAGGCAGAATACAGTATAAATAATAAATAAATAAATAAATAAATAAATAAATAAATAAATAAATAAATCAGAAAAATTAAAAAAGCTACCCTCCACCAAACTTGCTTCAGACTTACTCTTTCATTTTGAATTCTTCAATGGAAAACATTTTTTATCCTGATGCTTATTAGCTGATATATTATTTATCAGAAAAGTTTTTTTTGTTTTTTTTTTTTTTTTTTGTTTTGTTTTGTTTTTTTACCTGTAACTCACAAGCTCAGTATTTACCATGCATTTGGGGATGGAAATTGCCGCCAACAAACACTTTTTTTGATTGCTATCTTAGGATTGTTTTGTGTTTTCCCCCCTTCTGGAGCTAATATTGAGCTCAGTCAGAAGCAGAAAAATCAGAAATTGTCATTGAAATAATTATTTTTCTCTGTATCACTGTGTAGGTGACAGTCATGTGCAAAAAAATGACACTAATTTTGGTGCAAGAATATAATTTTTATTTAAAAAAAAACAGAAAAGAAAAATGCACATACACAGCCAAAAATACAAAAACAAAAAACAAAACCCTTTTTCCTCAGTTGGGTTTTTTTTTTTTTTTTTTTTTTTTTATGTTTTTAAGTTGGTTGGTTGGGGAGGGTTGAGTTTTTTGGGTGGGGGACTTTGTTTTGCTTTTGTTTGTTTGTTTTTTGTTTGTTTGTTTTGTTTTGTTTTATTTTGTTTGAAACATGCTTTCTCTGTATAGCTCTGGCTGTTCTGGAACTCCCTCTGTAGACCAGGCTGGCCTTGAACTCAGAGATCGCCTGCCTCTGCCTCGGAGTGCTGGGATTAAAGGTGCGCACCATGGCCTGGGTTCCCTGGTTGGCTTCATGAGCTATTCTCTTTTAGGACCCTCAGAAGATTTCTGAGTTAAGATGAGAGGCATCATCACAAACACTCCCAATTGATGGGGCATCTTTAAATAAGATATCCTTTCAATCCATCTGTCCTCATAAAGCTAGTAAAAGTAGGGTGGTGACTTGTGCCATCTGTACCACACGGGACATTACCACCCCATTCCTCACTCGCTGCCTTTCTCACGGTTGGACTGAAATGCCCCCTCTTCCAAGAGATCTTCCCTGGACAATGGGAAAGACTTTCAAAATCTCTCTCTGTCCCTTTTCCTACATAGAATGTGTCTTGGTGTACTGCAGGCACTTGAGCAGGCACTTGAGCAGAGACGGGAAGATCTCTGTGAGTTCCAGACCAGCACGTTCTACATAGCAAATTCCAAGCCAGCCAGGGCTACCTAGTGAGGCCATAACTGGAAAAAGAAAAAAGTAAAAACAATGCATCTCTTTATTAATTTAATTTGTATTTTTTCTATTTTTTTCTTTCCTTTTTTTTTTTTTAACAATTTCTTTATCATTTATTTTGTGCTTGTATAAACGTGTGTGTGAGTGTTGCTGCCAGTTGTGAAGGTTACAGGTCAAGCCACAGGAGAGGCTTCTCTCCTTCCACCATGTGTGCCTAGCGGGGGTCAAACTTTGATGGCCCGGTTTGGCAGGAGGCACCTTTACTACTGAGCCTTGTCAGCTCTCCATTTACCTCCTTACAGGGTCCAGCAGCAAATACAAAACACTTCGCAAGAACAGGTTCCTCGCGGAGTGAAACAGAGAGCTTTTTTATTCGCCGATATAAGAGCAGGGCTCAGCCCAGAAAAACACCCAAAATGGGTAATAGTTGTGGTGATAGCTCAGTGCTTAAAATGCTGGCCCCAAGCCAAGCATAAGGGTGCACACCTTTAATCGAAGCTCTTGGGAGGCAGAGGCAAGTGGATCTCTGAGCTTAAAGCCTGCCTGGTCTACACAGTGAGTTCTAAGGCAGCAAGATCTACATAGTGAAATTCTATCTCAAACAAATAAAGTAAGCTAAAACTAAAGCAAAGGTGAGAAAAGCTCTGGCCCCTCAAGCAAGCAGAAGGACCAAATTTTAGATCCTGAAACTGATGAAATGTCAGGTTAAGTGAGGTGGAGTTGGCCTGTCATTGCGGTCTCAATAGTCAGGGATGGGAATTTCCAAGGAAGCTGGCCAACGATTAGGTTGGTGAGTTCTGGGTTTGATACAGAGACCTGTCTTGAATAAGTGGAAAATGATTCCCAAAATCAGTGTCTGGCCTCTACATGCATGCACACACATTACACATGCATGCATACATTTGTACCCACCTCATACAAACTTGTCACATATAAACATCACACACACACATGTGGAAATAAGGAAAATAAAGCTCTTCAAAATAAATTTACAGTGAAAGTAAATAAAGGATGTTTTCAGAGGCCTCTGGTTCTCAAACTCTGGCAAAAAAAAAAATAAGGCTGTTGAAGTGTCTCAGATACATGCTACAAACACAAATTATAAAACTAAGCTTGCATGTTTGACTCCTTTAAATTAAAAGCCCCCAAAGGACACCATCAGAAAGGGAAAGGACAAATCACAGAACAGGCTAAAATAGGGGAAAATTACAAGCTGATAAAGGCCTAGCGAGTATATCAGAGGAACTTCTGTCTCAATTAAAAGTTCATTTCCAAAATGGGAAAAGGATCTCCTCCAAAGAAGGTAATATATGGCCAATGAGCACACCCAAAAATCTCCTTGGCATTATTAGTCATTAGGGAAAAGCAAATCAAAACAGCTGTGGCATTCCATTTTACACCCACTAGGATGGCTATAATGAGCAAGACAATAACGTGCATTGTGCAGGCTGTGATGGAACTGGAGCACTTGCCTCTACAGGTGCTACAGAACACAGTTTGGCAGTTCTTCAAAAATGTCACATAGAAGGTCGTCATACAGCCCTGGGATTCCATATCTAAGTATCTACCCAAAATATGTAATGCATATAATATGCATTATATATGAATATAAAAGCATTCACATGCATGCAATATAATGCAATTTATTACATTGAAAGCAGTATACAATATAAATGAATGTAAAAGCATTTATATGACTCTTCTTAGCCGTGTTATCGTAACTTACCAAGAGTAGAAATGTCCCAAAGTTTCTCACTTGAATGCATAAGCAAAATGTGGTATATCCACACAATGGAATACTACTCAGCCGTTGTGGATGAAATCGTGCTAATTGAAAGAAGGCAGACATAACAGAAAAAATCTAGTATGATTCTACTTACATGAGATACCCAGAATGGACAAATCGGGGAGACAGAAATTAGATTATAAATTGAGTCTAGAAATGGGGTAAACATGGAGGTGGCTGATGATTGGTACATTGTTGCTTTTGGAGAGGATGAAAATATTCAAAAATTACATGATGATGACAATAGCCACATGAAGCTGAGGACCAATGAGCTGCCTGCTTTGACTGGGTGAGCGTTACAACATGTAAATGCTCTTTAGAGATGTTCAAAACAAAAAGAATCCCCGGAGGAATTTGTGTAAATGGGTCTTGGGCCCCATGAATAGAGATACCCTACTCAAGTTCTAAGGACCTACTTATCTTTAGTTAGGGTTACTATTTGATGATGAAAAACCATGACCAAAAGGAGGTTGGGAGGTGGTAAGGGCTTATTTGGCTTTCACTTCCACATTATAATCTGTCCTTGAAGGAAGTCAGGTCAAGAACCTGGAGGCAGGAGCCATGAAGGGTTGATGATTACTGACTTGCTCCTCATGCTCAGCCCAGTTTCTTACTGAACCCAGGACAGCAGCCCAAGAATGGCACCACTCACACTAGGCTGGGCCCTCCCCCATCAATCCCTAATTAATAAAACGCCCTACAGCTAGAAAACTAGCCAGCACACTGCTGGTTGATGTTGAGCATCCACAATCCTTTCTGCAGAAAGCACATCCTCAAAGTTTCCTTGGGAAACTTACGGCTTCCTCCAGAGGATCGACCATGAGGTTCACAGGACCTTGATTTCTCTTCCAGCTCCTGGGTGGATTCTGCTCCTTGGCATCACC